AAAAAAAAAAACATGATAAATAAATAAATAAATAAATAATTTCATATAAAAAATGTACAAATAAATTTTTGTACATTTATATCGATAATAATCGATAAATCGATAAATCGATCAATAAATAAATTATATAATGTAGAAATAAAGAAATTATATAAATAATCGATGAATTAAAATTTAATAATACAAATAAATTAATAATATATATTTTTTATATTGTTAATTATAATAATTAAAATGTATTATGCAATATTTCAATTTTCCATAGGATTTCGATTATCGAAATAATATCGATAAGATCGATATAATCGACTTCCGTCACCAGCCAATGAGAGAGCTTCTTGGCGAATTTTGGCGCGCAGCGTCAGTCTTCTGTGGAAAGTGAACAAGTGAGGACGTGTGACCGCTGCCGGCTTGAAAATTTCTACTGCGCAGTAAGTAATTTTGATCAAATTCTGCTACGAATTTATAAATTATTATTATTTTCGTTCATTTAATCATTCTCTTATTATTTTAAGTGTCGAAATTCATTGATATTTTGAGGTTTTTTTGTGTTTTCGATCATTGAATACCGGTAATTCGTGCTTCGTTGAGACGAGATTCGAATAGACTTGTTGCTTCGCTTTGATATAGTTTTCCTACGCATTTGTTTTACGATTTTGATTGTCATTTGAAAAAAATTATCGAATTTCGGGATAAGTTGAAAGAAAAAATGACTTGTAGCATGCATATATTACGATGATTTACGACTGATTTTGATATTTCGACTTAACTTTCGACAAGTAAATTTACTAGAATAAATTTATTAGAATAAATTTATTTAGAATAGATTTCTATAATTTTTTAATCCATTATTGAAAACACAAACGAAACGAAGACAATTTTACATCATATCGGTTATATATATAATATGTACATATTATATTTATTATATATTATATCGGTGATCATATTTCGTTTCTAAATGCGTCTCTTTGTAACGTTTACGTAGTTTTTTATGTTTTGTTGTGGTCGAGGCTGATAAAATGTGTTCATAACATAGCTTTTCTAAGAAATTAGGTGTTTGTATTTTTTCGCACGCTCGACATGTTTCGACAGGCTTCGACAGGTTTCGACAGGTTTCGACTCGCGCATCTCCCCCCTCCCCTCTTCTCCCCCGCGAAAATTCGTTAACCGAAATTGTGCTAACCTAACCGTCGTTGTGTATCCATATTCGTATTAGAAACTTCACTTCTTTTCATTTGTTTGTTGCATCGTAGTACATATTTTTTTCTTAAACTATCATTCCTATCATTATGTTGTTCAATAAATACGCGGCTTGGCATTCCGTGGAATTAAAATTATTCATTTTTCTCTATTCATTTATTTGATTACATTTGATTACAATGCTCACGTTGTGTGCCTCTTTAAGATAAAATTTGTGTTTGATCATCGGTTTATTTTTATTTGTGGCCGATTAATTTTATAAATTTCACGTGTATATTTGAAAATTCTCGTTTTCTTTTGTACAGATTATTACCTGATTACTGGGCCGACATATTGGTCGGGAAGGCGGGAAAAATTCCAACATGGATACCATTGTACTTTTTCAAAGGGAAGTTCGATTTTTCGCTCGTGTATTGTATGTATTTATTCTGTATTTATTCGATTATTTTATTATATTATTTTATATATTTTATCATTACGTATAAAAGTATATTTTATCCTATATATGAATATAATATAATGAACATTCATCGTAATTATTAATAATTTTGCATTAATGATATGATCATTCTATTCTAAATCCGTTAATTCATAAAAGAAATTGATAATAATCGATTCAGAGTTTTAATAAAAACGGTAATTCTTTCTGAAACAAATGTTCGATTGAAAGAAAAAATATTTTGCTTCTTTTTTTTATAGATTCCTCCCCCCCTCCCCCCATTAATAATACAGATTTATTTCCAGAGAATTTTTGTGATCGCGCGCAATGCGATCGGTAGATTCAGTGTTTGCTTCGTAATAGTTTTCTAGTATTTAGAGCACAATAGCTCTAATTAAATTACCATGATCATTCGCGAAACTAGAGTCAGTGCTTGTTCGCCGGTTCTATTTGAAATCGACGCGTTAGTAGTTTCTTATTTTTATTTTTTTATTTTTTTTGAATATTCGTTTTCGGTACAGGTTAGAGTCAGTGTTCCCTGAGGAATAAGGCGGTCATCCATCACGCGAAGAGGTAATTGTTTTTATATATTTTCTATTCGCTTCAACTTTTTCAAATAATCAGAATTGTAATGATAGCGTTTCATGTTTGGTTACAGTTTTCCCTTCCTCGTGATGACTATTTGGTGTGATGACATCTTGGACCACGACAATGCAGATTCTTCGCATCTATTGGTGAGTCGCATGCATTTA